GGGAGGGGGGGCTAAGCTTATTTTCCAGAACCTGGTAAAGCTCATGGATTATCCTGTCCCAAGCTGGCTTCAAGTCTTGATCCTCAGATTTCAGCCTCCTGAGGAGCTAGGATTATAGATAGGTGTGAGCCATTGGTCCACCAGCTCCTGCGCTTGAACTCAGTCCTGGGGCTTGAAGTCAGGGCCTGGGCGCTGTCCCTGAGCTTCTCTTGCTCAAGGCTAGCGCTCTACCGCTTGAGCCACAGCGCCACTTCTGGCTTTTTCTGTGTATGTGGTACTGAGGAATCGACCCCAGGGCTTCATGCATGCTAGGCAAGCACTCTACCAGCCCATGTGTGCATTTTCTATGGTTAATTTCAATTGATCACATTCATAACCTCACTAGGTCACATTCGCAATAGATACATTCCTTCCCTGATTACTTGGCCCAGGATTACCCAGGATGCCCCAGGGAAAGTAACAGTTCACAAAATGCATAAGCATTTCCTAGCTTGCACTGCCTTAGCTAGCTTACCAGCTTGGAGGGGTTGGGAGAGGGGGGGAAGGGGAGCGACACAACACACCAGACAAACAAGAAACAAACAATAACCATCAACCATGATCAGCATGCTGAACGACCCCAGATCTGACAGCAAGGCAGGGTTGATGGACAGGCCCTTGGAGGGTACAGAAGCCATTTTACAAGAGGATCTTCCCTTCAGGAAAAGCTCTTCCCAGAAGTGCTGCAGGAGCCTTGGTGGGTGGGGGGTGGGGGGGGGGACCAGCAGCAATCTAGAGGGATCGGAGGAAGGACTGACAGAAAACCCAATCACATCTTTCAGCTGAACTGACACCAGGCTAAGGGAGCAGGGGCAAAAGGAAGAAGCAGACAAGCCCGCTGAGATGATCTGCAAGGTTCGATCCCTGTCAACCTAGCTACTGAGAATCATGGTTCAAAGCCAGCCTGGAGCAGGTAAGTCTGTAAGACACTTTATCTCCAAGGAACCACAGAGAAGCTGGTAGCTCAGAAAAGCTGTGGCTCAAGTGGTAGAATGCCAGTCTAAAGGGAAAAAAAAAAAATTTTTTTTAAATATATATATCAAGGACAGTGCCCAGGTTTTTAGTTCAAGTTCTAGTACCAATACACACACACACACACAAGTGAAAACCTACAGAATTGAGTCCAGCTCCTTACTTGGGATCAAAGCCGACTATCTGGCTGAGTGTGGTGGCTCATGCCTATAATCCCAGCATTGGGGGGGGGGGGTGGAGGCACGAGGAGGTGGAGGATCATGAGTTTGAGGCTAGCCTCAACTATACAGTAAGACCCTGTCTGAAAAAAATAAGACATATGAAATAAAATAGAAAGCCAGCCCTCCTCTCCTCCTGTCAACCCTTCATTCGTTGCAAACAGTGTTTGTCTTAATTCCAAGCTTTTGCTCCTGTGCCCCAGCCTAGAATCTTCTGTACAGAGAGCTAAAACAGCTGTGACACCCCCTCCCCTGCCCCCAAGCAATACAATTCTACATACAAGTTCCGCAGGCCGGGCGCAGGTGGCTCACACCTGTCATCCTAGCTACTCAGGAGGCTGAGATCTGAAGATCACAGTTCAAAGCCAGCCTGGGCAGGAAAGTCTGTGAGACCCTGATCTTTAATGAACGACCAAATAAAATAATAATAATGATGATGATGATGATAAGCTGTAGCACAAGTGGTAGAGTTCTAGCCCTTGAGCAATTAAGCTCCAAGACCTGAGTTTAAGTCCCAGGACCAGCACATGCGCGCACACACGTGCACACAACCAGCATCCTGCTTCTTAGAAGCTGCATGCAGAAGGAAGGATTCAGAGGCGAAGTCTCATGTTATTTTCAGGTGGCTCGGGAAACTTTCACACACCTATGAACACCCAAGCACCTGTATTCACAGACACAAGTATGAACGTTAATTGTGGCAGCCCTCCGGAGGGGGGGGTAGCTCTTTCTGCTTGTGTAGATGTTTGGAAGCCTTGTACTCCGGCCCCTGCTCCCTCCTCCTATCCAACAAGGGAGCTGTGGAAAAAAGAAGGAACAACAAAATGGAAGCTTTTTAGAGAATCTGTGGATTTCCAAAGAGAAAAGGGGGAAGTCATGAAGAACAGGAATGAGGAGGAAACTGGTGTTTGGGGGAGTGGCCATCATCCCATCCTTTTTCAGTTGCAGGAAAGACTGCCAGGAAGAGCGAGGGACTTGCTTTAGGCTATTGACAAATTCAGAAAAGGATTTTCCTCCCCTCTAGCTCATCAGCTACGGAGAATCTCAGTTCCCAGGTTTCTGCACTGCTCAGTGGAAGAGCATAAAAATTCTCCCCTATAATGCTGTCCCTTTATCTTCTTTATAAAGATCTATTTAATCCTATCAGAAATACTTTCTTAGCCAGGGGGCTGGTGGTTCACATCTATCATCCTAGCTACTCAGGAGGCTGAGATTGGAGGATCATAGTTCAAAGCCAGCCCAGTCAAGAAAGTCTGTTGATTTTTTGTTTTTGTTTGCCAGTCCTGGGGCTTGAACGGGCTTGAACTCAAGAGCCTGGGCTCTGTTCCTGAGCTTCTTTTACTAAAGGCTAGCACTCTACCACTTGAACCACACTCAGTGCCACGTCTGGGTTTTTTCTGTTTATATGGTACTGAGGAACTGACCGCAGGGCTTCATGTATGCTAGGCAAGCGCTCTACCACTAAGTCACCTTCCCAGCCTTCTGTGAGATTCGTGCCTCAAATGAACCAACTAAAATCCAAAAGTGGAACTGTGGCTCAAAGTGATAGAGGACTACCCTTGAGCAAAAAAAAAGCTCAGGGGTAGTCTGCAAGCACTACAACCAAAAAGAAGAAAAGGAAAAGAAAAAAAA